TTCATTTGCTTGGCCAGAGCAGAACCGGTCCACTTAGTGTGCCTGAGTTTCCTAATGTTTTTACTCAGTTAGCAAATGGCTTTTTTTTTTTTGGCTTCCTCATGAATTTAGCTTGTACTATGTTTGCCTTTTTCATCACTGTAAGGATACTTTGTGTCACAATTACCAGCGTTCTAATTCCTACAGATCGCTGTTAAACACACAGATCACATAGGTCAGGGGTGTCCAAACTCGGTCCTACAGGGCCGGTGTCCCTGAGAGTTTATCTCCAACTTCAACACACCTGCCAGGAAGTTTCTAGTGGTAGGAGCTTGATAGGCTGGTTCAGGTGCGTTTGATTAAGGTTGGAGCGAAACTCTCCAGGACACCGGCCCTCCAGAACCGAGCTTGGACATCCCTGACATAGGACTGTAAATCTGCTGGTATATGGACTACAACTTCCAGTTATGCACCACACCACACACACACACACACCTGTTCCTGATCACGATTGATTACACTTACACTTGAGTATAACAAAATTCAGCAACTAGTGTGTGTGTGTCTGTACTGCTCTTAAAGTCCATCTAATCAGTCTTTCAGCAGCTCCACGCTGTGTGAGTGTAATCAATCATGATTGGAACAGGTGTGTGGCTGCGTCCAAAATCACCTACTACTCACTGTATTTGAATTTAAACGTACTACTTGGCCATTAGAAAACTATGTTCTACCCAGTTTGAATTGGAAAAGTATGAATGGAATTTGGACGTACTTCATACGCCATTTTGTCATGGTCGCGTGACCTACCTGCTCCAGTTGTGTCGCTTCACTCCCATTCATGAATTCTCTAGAAGAGCATCATAGGATAGCGTAGCGTGCATGTGATGCGCACTGCAGAATCTCGCCGGAAGTAGTAAGTCATCCGGGTACTTCTCGCATATTGATTTTAGAATTCTATGAATTTGTACATACTACTCGGCTTGTATACTGATTTTATTGTACTGTACAGTATGGAAGTATGCGGTTTCGGACGCAGCCTGTGTGTGTGGTGCTTGACTGGAACTTTTAATCCATACACCAGTAGATCTGTAGTCCTATGTGATATGTGTTTACCAGTGATCTGTATGGATTTGATTGCTGGTGATTGTGACACTTTGACAAATTCTTTATTGAATAAAGCCCTATTGAAACAAATGTGACATTACTTTGGAGGGAACTTTTAATAAGTTCAAAAATTGTACAGTCAATAATATATAACTATACTTACTGTAAGTAACTCCATCCACTATGAAACTGCAGATGACTCCTTCTGTTTGTCTCCCCACTGCGAACCCGTTCCCTCTCAAAACAATGTCAAAGGACTCTGTGGTATGTAAACCAGATGAGGACATAATGAGAAGCACTCCTGGGCGTTCACCCAAATCAACGTCCACACACACATACATACACACACACACACACATGCACAAAGGCAATTTCATCCACCCTGATAGCTGTAAAAGCCCTTGAAATGCTTACGGTTCACGCAGACGCTGGACGGTTCCACTGTTAGGATTTCGGTGCATGATTGCTTGAGGATCTGCATGATAAAAAAAAAATGTATTCAAATCAGTACTTGTCACTGCTGAATCACTGTATCAGCTATCACAGTGTCCGGGTCTTTAGCATTCGCGCCGGAGATGTTTGCTGTGCCAAATCAAGCTCAATGAGTCGAGCATCACATACAGTGCGGTGTGGGACAGACCCGTGTCAGCCGTTATGGGGAAATTATGCGGTGCCATTTTCCCTCTTCAGCTCTATTAGAGACCGTAGGCTGACATTATCATATAAACAGGCCTGTGAGAAGCCACCATCGCCTCTCCCCATCATCCACATAAATCAACAGAGGACAAACTATGCAAATCCCCGTACACAACAGGCAAAAAGACAACATTAACAGATAGATATGGTCTTGCGAATCGCCTGCAGCGGAGATGAGGCTTCGCACTGAAGTGGAGGACACGTATAAAATGAGCTGATTGAATATGACACCTGATAAACTCTGCTATCATTAAAGGGGAGAAGGAACACTGACTAAACGTCAGGGCTGAAAAATATTCAGGATGGTCTTCATGGGTCTTTAATGAGTTATGAGATGGCACGATAAAAGGAAGGTTCATAGCAAGACGTTTTTACTTATTTTCTCTGACAGGTATCTATACACACACAGGAATAATCTTAAAGCATTGAAACATCTATTAATCTGTAATTATCATATAGCTCTCTAGAAAACTGGATTGGCATTTCCTGCAACAAATTCTCAAACTGAAAGTGCCACAAATACTCAACTTGAATGACCTTTTGAACTTTCACCAGGGTACATAAAGGAATCAGAGATTGAAAATCAAAACTTTTTAGGACCTTTTTAAGACTCTGTATATATTTTAAGACCCCAAAACTACTTGCGGTTTCAACCAGTAACATTGCGGTTTTTTCTTTTTTAAATATTTCCCAAATGATGTTTAACAGAGCAAGGACATTTTCACAGTATGTCTGATAATAATTTTTCTTCTGGAGAAAGTCTTATTTGTTTTATTTTGGCCAGAATAAAAGCAGTATTAAATTTTTTAAACACCATTTTAAAGACAAAGTTATTAGCCCCTTTAAGCTATATATTTTTGATAGTATACAAAACAAACCACAAATCTGCCTAGTTCACCTAATTTACCTAATTAAACCTTTAAATGTCACTTTAAGCTGTATTGAAGTGTCTTGAAAAATATCTAGTGAAATATTATTTACTGTCTGCATGAGAAAAAACATTAGGAAAAAACAATTTAAAACTATTACAAAGAGGTCCTTGCACGACTAAATTAAAACAAATTAAAACTATTATGTTTAGAAATGTGTTGAAAATGTGTTTCCCTGGTTACTGCACTAAACAAAGCAGTGTGATGTCAAATCTAGCAGGTTTTTTTACTACACACCATCCCAATATTCAAAGATTAGATTCAGGTCAAATTTAGTATACCAATAGCAAATTTAATATAATGTAAAATAGCATTAAAGATGTTCTAATACTTTTTAAGGGTCTTAAATTTCTTTAAATTGTTCAATCAATTTTTAATCCTTTTTAAAACACCCCGGACACCCTGATTACCAAATACTGCTGAAAGAGCTTTTTTTCCCCCCAAGATTTAGTATTCTCCAGTATTTTGACTACACTGTAAAACCCAAAAAGTAAAGGCAACTCCATTTCCATTTGAGAAAACCGATTGCAACAAACCATTTAAGTTCAAAAACTAACAAGTACTGTGAACTTAATCCATTTGAGTAAATTAAGCAATTTAAGCACAGTAAAAAACAATAAATGAAGAAAGGTCAAAACAACTGAGTACTGTTAAACCCAATAAGTTACAGCAACTCAAACCGTTTGAAGAAACTGATTGCAACAGACCATTTGAGTAAAAAAAAATAGTCTACATGAGTACCGTGGACTTACTCCATTTAAGTTGAAGTAATGAGGTATTTAATTAACGCATTGCCTTCAACACAGAGTTCAAACCTCTTTTCAAATGAGTAGAATGGACTTTCAGTAAATTTTGACTGTTGAGTTTTACAGTGTAGTAAAAGCACCACCGAATGACACTGCCATGACTTCACTCCTAAATGCTGAAGTCTTGCCCAAGACACAGCAGAATGATACTTTTCAATTCCAATCCTTAGGGTTTCAAGTTAAATTTGTGCATTTTCCGAGCTACAAAATAATAATACACAATAGGTTTTAATTTTAGTTTAAAACTGATATCTTAGATATCTGAATATATCTGTATTTAGGCTATAATCACAATCATATATTTTATGTTTGTGTGAAAAGTGTCAGGTTTGTGATTTTTATTTCCCATAAGCTCAAGCTTTTCACAACCTAAAACATCCCGCCCCATTCAAATAAAAAGAAAAAACTTGATTAAAAACCATTTAATGCTATACTACACATATGTACCAGTGAACCTTATTATGCAAATTAATGTTCTCCGCTATAAATCAAAACATTCTTGAAATATTAAAATAGGCCTGGCTAAATCTATTCTTTAGGCTTCTGCTTTTATGTGAAATCTCTGTTAAGTCTACTTTAGGCCCGAACTGCAAAGCTGCACAGATGATCTCAAATCCTGGAAATCTGAGCAGAGAGCGACATGAGGCCAACTAGCCCAGCCTCCAAGATTACTAATCACTGGAGAATGCCTGTGTTTTGCTGGGCCTGAAAATTCATTTGGCCAAACAAACTAGCTCAATAACGAGAAGATAGGTCCTTCCTGTTTTTCATTTTACTTTTCTTGACAAAATGATAAATTACAAAGAATTCCTGTCTGTTGTCTTGCGCGACTAAAGCTGAAAAAAAAAATCCTAGAAACAGATTCCTGTGGTGACAAAACAACATAGCCATGTGCAACAACATTGACCTGTTGATAGTTTACGGATGGCAGAAAATGTTCAGAGTCTTCTTACTAAGTTTACAAAGCTAAACCACATCATCGGTAAATGCCATGAACACAAAGGGCAAACATGCTCTCAAAAATACTCAACGAGAAACAAAGCATCTTCAAGCAAATGGAAAATATCACAATTAAAATGTCAACACACCGGTGTAGGATGAAACTGCTTTGACAGTTTCACAGTGAATTTATACGAATACAAATAGGAGTCCTTTAGAATCAATTTACAACCAATTGATGCTAGAACTCTCAAAAACTATATTTTATGTATGTTGTAAAAAAATTAGGATTCATAAATATTAATAATAACTAGCTATTATTTAATTATTTATATTTAGATTTAACTTACAGTTAAATGTAGCTGATTAAATATAACAATGAATTTATCCACTCATTTAATTGTCTATTTATTTGAAAAGGTAATAAATACTTCTTGTGAAGGGAATAGTTTTAAAAGTTTGAAGTAATTTTAATAAAGCTGGCTGCAAAAAAAAAGATCTTTTACCGTTACCATCTTCTGAGAAGCAAAACAAAAACAATCCAACTAGTATTAAATGATTTAATGGTTAAAATAGTACAACAATATACGAATAACAAGAAAAGTGTAAAATACATATAACTCCCAGAACCACCAAGAATCAATAAAACACCTTTTTGATGAAAAGGGTTTAGAAACGCATAACTAATACTTGCAATTTTGGTCTCTCTACTTCATGCAAGAGTCCTAATATGTGTGGAGAAACTGATATCCCAAGGAAGTCCTCATGTTGTGTGCGTGAAGTTTGCATTGCAGATTGGAGGATCCAGAAGGCATGAAACTCTACTGTTTAAATTGCCAGAAAGAGAACAGTCTCAGAGGAGAGTCCGGTGCAAAATTAGGCTACATGATTCTCTGGGAATGACCTTCTGCAGTTCAGCCTAGATATTGGGCTGTGGTATGAATTTACGCTATTGGTCAGATTCTTAAGACATAATAATGTATTAAAATGTTGATAGAAGTTTGCGATATAGGAACTACTATCGTAGAGCGGAACATTAAAAATGCTTATTTTCCGTGGAGCAATTTATTTGAGTTTTATTTGACAGAAGAAAAAAGCCGATGCCGGTTATTAAAAAGGATTCAGTCAATGTTTTCGTTTTGTAACCTAAATTTGTAATTTAAGTGAAAAATCTTTAGTGCAAACCATTTATTCTTTTTTTTTTTAGATTATTGTTTTTCTATGTTGTTGGAAACACTGCAGGTGTGTGAACATTTGACGATAAAGCCAGGTTCTTTTGTTAATAAGTTCTGCTGTTGTTCAGACAGAAAATGTGTCAGACACAAAATTGACACGGCATTTTTTTTACTTTTAAAATCAAATGATAATTTTATATTAATCTGGGGTGTGTTTCCGAAAACCATCATTAACCAAATAAGATCACAAGTTGTGTCGTTACAAACATAGTTTGTTGATTTGGCGTTTCCTGAATCTGATGCTTGTACGATTGCATCTACACATCCAGAGCTGTAGTTAGAAGTTCCTGGTTGTTTTATTCACAGTTATCCCCCCATACCCTATTCTTTTAGAACATTCTAAAATTTTAATTAGTCATCTCTCTTAGGTATAATTTGCTTTCAAAGTTTTTTTTACAGTTCAGTTTTAGTAATCTTCATATTGACAATTGTGTTCCCTTCACAGTGCACTTTGAAAGCCTTTATGTCATTTTAATGCAGCTATGGCTTATGACGAAAGCTATAGGTAACCTATTATTTAAAAGCGGAATTTACAATATGTCTCCAAAGCTTGTGAAAACATGAATATATAGCATACGTTAATGGTTTTAATTTATAGTAGGTTATTTATAAAAAAATGTATCTGTACTGATTAAGACATGTCTGTTGGTTAGAACTTTTCTTTAGTGACTTGAATGTGTTAAATTGTAAACGTTGACTTTTAAAACAATTAAAATGAAATAAAGTAATAAGTAACAAGATCCTAGTTAATAATATCAATAATAATAAAAATTATTATTATGTAGTTTTTCTTGATTTCTTAATAAATAGCCAACTGTAAATTACAACTATTGATTATTTATATGATCGTGTTAGCTTTAATGTTTTAAAATAGAACGTGGAATGTTTTCAATATTTGCAAAGGAAACGTGTGTTTACATTAAAAAAAGGATGGGTTTTTCTCAATAGAAATTGTAACTCCGCCCCATTTAGAGCGTCATTATGGACATTTTACGTTATAACTAACGTGGTTCAAATGATGGATCTGCGACAGAGAAACTACAGTTTTGGGAAACACTCGTCACTACTTTGTTCTTTTCCCAAACGATGCATAGTACTATGATGGTTCAGTGCGAGTTATGTTGTTGTTTGGGAAACGGACCTCTGATTGGTTAATGGTTAATATTTGGTTAACGAGTGACGGTTGCCGGCTGGGAAAATTAATCTGAAAAAGCATGCCTAATATAAAGATATATAAAAACGCTTACATTTAGATTGTTAAAATTTTTTAATTGTTCAGGATGATATGCCTATGAACTGCCAAAGCTTTCAAAAACTATATGCTTGCTAGCAAATTTAAATAATCGCAGCTTTTGCGATTTGAAAATCGCACCCTTTCAATCTGCGATTTTGTTCAAAAAACGATTAATCATGCAGACCTATTCAGATACTTTAGCCCAAGCTTCTTGTCACTTAGTTTAGGCTCTGCTGTCTGCAGTGGTGTTTCAGACTCTTGCAGCCTTACTCTCGGATCATCTTTGGCTTCCTTCTCTCTTTGCTCCCTCTCTCCATTTTCCATGCTTTGCTTCATCTGGGGGCTCTGTAATTTGTCCACTTGCTCCTGAAGTTTTGCGTTCTTTTCCCTCATCGCCTCACATGCGTCCTGAGCCTCCTTGGCCTGATGCTCCAGTTGGATAAAATCTTTTTTGATCAACCTTGCCTGGGCGAGAAGGATGTATGCGAGGTTTCCAGTGAGTTTAGCCAGCTCCTTGCCGTCTCGACACTCGGCCGGGTTGTTGTTCACCATCAGTTGATAAATGCGGGCGTCCAGCTCTTCTTTGCTCAGCAGCTGCAGGTCTGTGGTGGATTTGGGCAGGATGGTATGGGTTAAGGTTTTTAACCAGGCCTCCAGTGGGTCCCAGGGAATGACAGGGCTGGGTGCAAGCAACATACTGGATAGCTGGTGTGAGACAAAGATAACACAGGAGAAAAAGCGCCAATGCAAGTTTGTGCAAAATTTAGTAATTTATAGCTATATTAAACAGCTATATTACTAGTTTGACAGTGCCATCAGCTAGGTGAAATGTGCGGGCCAGACATTGGTTGTCTTAAAACCCTTGTGGGTCAGACACAGAAGTTAAAGCAGGAGGACTAGATTATGATTGATACCTTCATCATGGCCATAAGGTTTAGTCAATCAGGTTCAGTCATTCAGGGTTATCAATCAGTTATTTAGGTTACCTTGGTGGTTCTCATTAGTGTGGTATCTGAGCAGGTCAAAGTAAGTGAAAATAACAAAAAACTTAAATAATAAACAGCAATATTAATAATAATAATAATAATAATAATAATAATAATAATAACAATCTAAACAAAAAAGGAAAACTCTCTAGTCCTAAGTGGGGACCAAGTAGACCAGAATATTGTTTGGATAAAATAATATCGATCCTTGAGATCAACACAATAGTGGGCGAAACTGTGAAAGGAGAGCAGGGAAAGACAGAGGATTTAAGTTTATCTAGGCTGCCGTTAGCCATTAGTGGTTTGTTTAGCTGGTCTGAGATGTGAGTGGCATCATAAGTTTGAACTGTAAAAGCATGTTTCGCTTTCCGTAGGTTTGGCTGTATCATTTCATTTACAGCCAACGTGGACATGCACGAGATGTGTGAGGGGAAAGCCAACGAGCACTCAGTGATACTGCACTCGTGATTTCATTCATAAATTTTGTATCTTTCATAAACTGACCACAACTCACTCCACAGACAGCAACTATGAATCACTCAGATTTGTTACCCTTTCACCTCTTTTATCACGTTACTGTTACACTGAGTTATTACATCTAACCAAAGGATTATATCGCTAATTCTAAACAAACTAACAAACATGGAATATGAGTCGTCGTCTCTCAATACTACTGTGGAAGTTTCACACGCAAGTCTAGACTTTTTGACGACTATTTTAAGAGAATAGGCTAACGCTATTTAAAAATGGGACATCCATTTTTACATTTTTCATCCATGTTTACAATTTACATCCATATCAGATATCAGTACCATTTCAGTACTACGCTTATAATTCTGAGATTCCTTTTCGAGAAAGCGACTATAATAGGCAAGCTTGAGACTCCCTATATTAACTTAGAAGCCGACAAGCAGCGTTCTGAAATTATTTAAATCTGCGGCGAATAAGTTTTAAAACTGTTAGTTATCTACTCTAACGGTTTAAAACTACAAGAGATTATACTTTAGTCTAGAAATTTGAAACAGAAACAAACTAGCTTCAATCTAGCTAAGGCCTTTAACAGATAAATTTGTTAAGTATCAACTAAAATATTTTAGAAGAAGAAGAGGGAAATCTCTTCTGACAGGCACGATAATATTTAAAACATCTGAAAGAGACTTGTGGCCTTCGTAAAGTTGATTTTAAATATTATGAACTGCGGATTATTTTAAGAGTTAACATCAACTCGCTTTAATACTCTGGTAGTGCAACAAGGGGTCCAGCTGGAGAGGAGCCTATGGTTCTGTAAGCTCTCTTACACAATAAAACACAATGGAATGACAAAGCGTACTTCACAGAAAGGTAGTTTAAAACCATGCCCGCATTCTCCATCATAATATACATAAAGAAATTAGCTCAAGGTTTAAGAATATTAATAATTATTAGTAACAAGTTATTATGCATTTATAAATATTAAGATTAAACTTACAGTTAAATACTGTATACCCAAATAAAAATAACAATAAATTTATCCACTCCTTTAATTGTCTATATATTTGAAAAGGGAACAATACTTCTTGTAAAGTAAGAGAATTGTAAAAGTTTAAAGTAATTTTAATAAAGCTGGTAGCAAAAAGAAGATCTTTACCCTTAAAGTGACCATTTCTGTGAGGCAAAACAAAGACAATACATGTGGTATTCAATGATTTCATGACTAACGAATAATGAACAAAGTTTACAATACATGAAACATGGAAATGTAAGGAAATATAGAACCTAGCTAATGAATGGCAATATTCACTCAGTTCACACACAACTAAAAAGAACCACCAAGAATCAATAAAAATCTTTTTATGAAAAGGGGCACAGCATACAACTGCATAACTAATACTTGCATTTTTGGTCTCTGCTCCTAATATAAGGGTCCTGATGTGCGTGGAGAAACTGAGATTCTTAGGAAGTCCTTGTGTCGTGTGCGTGGAGTTTGAAGGTAGTTTGAAGTTTTGAAGAGTAGGGGTTTAACCCAGGTATCCTGGCCAAATTTGCCCACTGGTCTCTGTCCATCATGGCCACCTAACCATCCCCATATCATAATTAGCCTTATCACTCTGTCTGCTCTCCACCAATCAGCTGGTGTGCGGTCTGGTGCAATATGGCTGCCATCGCGTCATCCAGTTGGATGCTACACACTGGTGCTGGATGAGGAGATCCCCTATTGTGTAAAGCACTTTGAGTGTCTTGAAAAGCGCTATATAAATTTAAGGAATTAGTATTGTTTAAGTTTGAGACTGGAAAGGGATGTTTTGCTTCCCGTAGGTTTGACTGTATCATTCATGCCTAACAGGGACGTGCACGAAATGTGTGAGGGGTTAACCAATGAACACTTGCGATTCCATTCATAAACTCTGTTCCGTTCATAAATTGCAACTCACTCCACAGACGGCAACTATGAATCAATCAAAGAATTAAACCTTTCACCTCTTTGATCACATTACTACTACATTAGTTATTATACCTAACCAAAGGAGTATATCCTTAAAGCTAAACAAACAAACATGGAATATGAGTCATCTCTCAATACTACAGTGAAAGTTTCACACGCAAGTCAAGACTTTTTAACGGCTGTTCTAAAAGAATTGACATGCGTTATTTAAAACTGAAAATAGGACATCCATATTTACAATTTTTATCCATATTTATAAGTTACATCCATATCAGATATTATTATTAATTATTATTATTATAAAGGTAGGTTGGAGGATCCAGTAAGGCACGAAACTATACTTGAGTTTAAACTGCGGAAGAGAGAACAAACTCAAGAGTTTGGTCAAAAATTAGGCTACATGGTCCTCTGGGAATGACCCTCTGCACTTCTGCCTAGATATTGAGGTGTGGTATGAATTTTAGCTATTGATCAGGTCACGCCCACTCTCTCATGACTGGCCAATGGCTTGAGGAGAAAGTTTAAGTGGAATATTTCCTTTGTTCTCCTCACTGGTTATCTGATAAGATGGTTCAAGTGGGCGTATTAGCCTTTAACTCACGGTATAAAAGAATGTAAACTATACAATATATCATTAGAAGTTCTAAATCATGGGTTATGGGATTACCTGAGGAATGCAACGTTACTAAACATGATAGTTTTAAGCGTACATAAAACATGATTTATGCCTTCTCAGATCTAATAAACGCCCCCACAATGCAGGCTACTGTAAAGATTATAGGACACAACATATAGGTTACAAACACACACATTAAATATAGAGAGCGTTTGTGTGTGAGTGTGCAAACAAAAATGGGTATAAATATACCCCCCCCCCCTTCCCACTCTCCATCTGCAATGTTCTTTGAAGATGGGTCAAAGAGACATTGTTGGTCATCTTAGTACCATCTTAGTTGTCACAAAGGTATGTGGGACTTTCATGGTATGTGGAGTCATGAATCATAAAAGCTATTAGTAAGACATCACCTCCGGAGAGTAATTTAATATTTACCTACAACCTCAGATTTTACAATGTTATGATATTTTATTTATTTATTTTTTACATAGAAGCATTTTTATTATTATTGATTTAGTAAATTAAGATCTAGATTGATTTAACATCAAATCTAAGAAGTACTACTTACTAGCTGGTAATGGATCTGTTTTAGCTGACTAAAACACATGCGAAGGCATCTATTTGAAATGCGTGCCCCATGGCATGGAAAACTTACCGAGTTAACGATGCCTTTGAGAGCCTGAAAGCCTCCTTTGACTGGGAACACTTGCTCCTTGGAATCAGCCACATCGGCTAGCTGTTGGCAGTCAAATAAGAGATATAATAATAAGAGGGCTGATAGCCAAACAAAAAAAACAAAACAAATGTGCTGACATTTCCTCTCCTTTAGCTTAATTTGTCATCACTACAAATAGTAGAGGAGAGTAGCAGTTTTGTATTTACAGGGAACACTGCTACGTTCTGCATTTGGTGAAGCTTGAGAGAGTTTGTGAAGTGTTTGAGGCCCGGTTTACCCTAATACATTTTAGTCCTAAAATGACATTTTAAAATGAAAACGATCCACGTCCACACTGGCGTTTCACCTAAAGTTTCTGAAAAGATCTCTGTCCACACTACACTGCTGAAAACCCACATCTCGTGACCACACACACTCTGGCATGTTCTGCAGTGTATGCGGACGTCTGAGCTCCAGACAGTCAGCGGGTGCTTTGAGCACAGCTCCCGGGGTGAAAGCACCACATGTCGGATAGTTCATCAAGGATCTACCGCTAGATTTTATCCCACTATAGTTGTCAAACGTGAAATTTAATTCATCTTGTCTCTATCTAATGGTCTTTTGAATCTATTACTTGCTCTCAGGTAACATGTTCTGGCTGGATAGATAAGTTAATATATTAATTTATGTAACCACGTACACTGATTCTGCAAATTTGACTGATTGCTTGCTTTTAGTTCCTATATTGTATAAACTTATTGTACGTTATACTTTTATAATGGCCATTATTGATTATTAAAACTAATATTCAGCAAAAGAGACAGGGTATGTTTCGTATTTTTCAATGAAAATAAAAGGTGAAAGTTATGTTATAGGCTCTATTTTGTTGTAAATATGCATACAGTGAAGATGACAGTCATATAAACATGTAACTACATGATGCCTCAACATTTTAGTGTCTGTTATGTTAATATCAAAATAAAAATAGGCAGTTCCTTATAACATGTTCTCATTTTATTGTTGACGCAAATGACGGAATACAGTACACAGTTTTTACCCAACGTGTCCTTGGGATTTTGTTTTGCATATCAAACTTGTGAAGTCTAAACTTAAGGAAAGAATGCAAGAACTTAGTGCACTTAAAAATAAGCTCCAATCAGCCTCCATTTTCCCCTATCCACACTGACATGGAGAAGCAGCATTTTTGAAAACGGCCTTTTTAGCATTTTCAAAACGCTCTGTTTCACTCTGGGGTAGTGTGGACAGAAGGCATAACCGTACCAAAACATTGGTGTTTTAAAAAAAGCTAGTGTAAACAAGGCCTGAGTGTAATCATGTATTGTAGTACATTGTAAAAAAATGCAGAGTTCGACACAATTTATTTGTTGTCCCAACATAAATCGATTACGTTAACGTAGCAAATTTAAGTTCATTGAACATAAAACAGCTAATTTGTCCCAAAATAATTGTGGCGTTTCAGCTTATTGCAGATAAGTGGTTTGTTGCTATTTTGAAATTTGCTGGAATGGCAATATTACCTGTTCTTCATCAAAGTCTTTTACACCAACACAGTACACACGAGCCCCATACTTCCTTGCTGAATCAGCCTATATAGAAACAAATGATTATAACCAAGTAATCATTTATTGCCATAAATTGACAATATATCAAGTGTTAGAAAGCAACTCACCTCGTCAATAGTGAGTTGATGGATATACGTTTCAAGCTTTCCATCAGTCAAGGCCACAATAATACTAGAGGACTTTTTAGGCTCTTTTTTCATTTGTTCAGTTGCCTGAAAAGAGGAAAGTATTGATCATTTTGCATGATTAAAAACTTTTAAAAAATAAAAAAATATATTATATTTATTCTAACTATATAATATAATATATTTGTATAATAAATTAAAATAGTTCATGTACAGTAACAAAGACTGGCACGGCTAGATTCAGGATATTAAAGGGGGTGTGTTTATTTACAAAGATGTAATTACGCCTTATCTTGGTCATGAAGGGAACCAAACAATTTACCTTCTTTTATTTTGTTTATTCCAGCAAGTCTAAAGTACATGAAATCAGTTAAGCAGAATTTAGGTCTGTCTACAGTAGTGAAGTGGATCAAATTAAAGCTTTCCCAAAGTTATTGAACAACACATATTCTTTCCTTTGGACAATTGTGACTGTACACAACATGAAAAGAAAGCTCTAATCTTTTTACATATTTATTTCTTTAAAAAAAATAAAGCATATATTAATTACCAATTTAATTCCTTCATGCATGTATGTTTCTCCAGCTGGATTGACCTCACTTAAGGTCTTCAGGCCTTTATTAATTTCTGACCTAATAATGAAAAGCGAGTTATATGTTAATCCCTGTAACATAAACATAAGTCATATTACCAGCTTTCTTACATTAGGATCTCCAAGTACTTCATGCAATTGGGATTCTGTACCTGTCTCCAGTGAGCGGTAACACAATCTCTGCTCTTGATGAAAAAACAATGAAGGACACTCGCAGATTTGGACTGGAATGAAAAAAAAGAAAGGGAAAAAGGAAAAACATGTCAATGAGAGTCAAATGCAAAATCAAGTACAGCTGCTCTAGTTTGACATTCCGTTTTTTCCAACGACAAAACAGCTCTTTAGAAGTGACTTGATTTTATATCTTATTAATAAAGCTAAATACAAGCGTTGGTGAATACGGTGCTCTGAGAGAAATCCTATGATGTTGAAAGTCTAGCTGTCCTCATGTTGCTTTCGCAATCATCAGAGATGGTTTATGAGTAAGATAGCCAATGTGACTAGCTAATAAAAGCTTGTGACTGGGAAAAAAAATCCCGTCTGTTTGGACCAAGTAAGTGATTAATTGATGGGCAGACAGGAAACAGGTTGTCATGTGTGATTCATGCAGACATCCTGTTGGTGATTATATTTATACCTTATATTTATACCCATTTATACCTCCTACCTTTTGCAATAGGAATAGGACAAACGAGCCGACTTACAACTTTTCTGTGAAACAGTGATGTCATAAAAATGTGGATTCAGACCTGACAAGTAAAAAAAATAATACTTAAAGATATTTTTCTAGTGTAGTGCTATAGCTATATATATATATATATATATATATATATATATATATATATATATATATATATATATATATATATATATATATATATATATATATATATATATATATATATATATATATATATATATATATATATATATAGGAAGGAAAGCATGGAAATTTTCACAGTATGTCTGATAATATTTATTCTTCTGGGGAAAGTCTTATTTGTTTTTATTTCAGCTATAATAAAAGCAGTTATTATTTTTTAACACAATTTTAAGGACAATATTATTAGCCCCTTTAATCTACTTTTTTTTCGATAGTCTACAGAACAAACCATCATTATACAATAACTTGCCTAATTACCCTAACCTGCCTAGTTAACCTAATTAACCTAGTTAAGCCTTTAACTTTAAGCTGTTTAGAAGTGTCTTAAAAAAAACCTAGTAAAATATTATTTTCTGTCCTCATGGCAAAGAAAAAATAAATCAGTTATTAGAAATTAGTTATTAAAACTATTATATTTGGAAATGTGCTGAAAAAAATCTTCTTTCCGTTAAACAGAAAATGGGGGGGGGAAATAAACAGGGCTAATAATTCTGGCAAATTCTGACTATTTAACCAATAAATTTGTCTTTGTTTTGGGAAAAAATGAAACAGGCTTCTAACAAATAATAATAAGACAATGTACAAGAGGCATCATTGTGGAAAAAAAATATCTCTTTAAGTATTATAATTATTCTTACTATTATTTCACTAGTCATATGTTTGAATCCACATTTTTATGATTATGCTTATATACTATATATTTATTTCTCCCTTTTAGTTTTTCTCCATTTTCTTTTTTTTTTTTTTTTTTTATTTCTTAATTTTGGTTAATTTCTTAATTTTTACTTCACTTAAATTTTGTTTACTTTTAACAAGAGAAATTTTAGTACTTTTGTGTATAACATTTTTCATGCCATATACATTGTTTTAGTTAGCAAAAACAGTTTTAATATTTTTTATTAGAAACCACATTGAAGCTGTTACGCATTTACCAATCTGCTGGTTTACAAAAACTGATTGTTGAGTAAATTTATTATAAACAGAAAAACTGAAAAAAACATTTTACTAAAAATTGCAAGAAAATGTAATAGTGATCCATTAAAGCCATGAAGTACAGTAGCATTTTCTTGTAAAAACCACACTAATCTGCTTTATTTACATCTCCAAAAACTAATAATAAAATCTACTAATGATATCGGAATATCATTCTTTACTCAGAAAGAAATTGACACTTCATCTGACAACAAATATATCGCTGATTTTGACAAGTACATCTCAATGAAGCAGTTGGTCTTTTTCACAACCTTCTGTCACGAAAGCTGATACAGCATCGGAACATGTTGGGTTCCTCTACACATTTGAAGTCAGGTCTCAGGACTGAGCATAAGGAGAGGTGCTGCTTTTTCTCACTCAGAATGACATCCAATCCACAACCATCCCCCACATGAGATTCTCAGGGAGAACATCCAAACGTGTCAGCCGAAGCCAAAATTTGGTTACAAAAATCAAATGAAGAGGCAGAAGGACTGAACATTTCACAGGCTGATTGAGTGATAAATACAACAATGACTCGCCAAATGGTATTACGATACCCTGTGTGACTGAGGAATTGCCCTAAAAAAGAAATAAACTTTCAATTTCCCTGAAGATATCAAGAATAAGTCATAACTTTGAGTTATCTTTCGCATCTGTCAGATAAATACCAGCGGAAGCCCTCATGTTGGTGTTAAGGTAATTCCAAGAAGATGTATTTAGATTGCAGGTCCATTCATGGTTAAAAAAGGGACCCTAAAGAGAGCCAGTGCAGACCACATGGCACAACAGAAGACCATCAGAGTCTATGGCAGGCTGCGCTGGTCTTCCTGCACTCATGACTTAAAGTACATTGGCTGCGTCTTCTCCTTTCATGTGTGAGGGATAAGTGTGCTGTTGGATGGTTGCAGTGCAAATGGCCATTCTCACAGCCCAGAAGACTGAGCCTCCTTGCCACCCACTCCCACCTGCTCCCTTTGCTATTTTCTCAAGCAGACTGCTTTCTTCTGGCTAGGTCGCTACCGTCTGTACTGGCACATACATTGAGTCAACGTTACATAAGTTCACATTCATCTGGCGATTTTTTTAATGTTGTTTTTTTTTTTTATCCAATGTAGGGCCAACTTAGAACCGGATATGTAGCTGCTGTGTAGACAAGTTAGCATTTAGCTTTGGTGGAAGTTGATGAATGATTAAGGACTTCTTTTGATGTGGTTGATTGGGAGGTATTGTACAACTGACTTGTTTGGCAGTATTTCAACATTAGTTCAACTCAAAATGAACATTGCGCCATCATTTACTCATCATCATGTTGTTACAAACAAACCCATGATAAATTTGTTTATCTTCAGAACACTATTTAAAATATCTGTATTATGATCTGAGAGTCTGTTCACCCAAAATAAAAAAGATTTAAAATTATTTTTTTTTAAAACCGATATGACTTTAGTCTTCTAAAGACACATCTTTACAATATTGAAGTTTGATTCTTGGATATGTGCTCACTGAAGCAAGATTTATACTTCTGTGTCTAGTGATCGGCATCACCCACATAGCATGCCTTGCATTTATACTTCTGCATGCTGTTTGAGTTGCTCTGCAACAACACTTTCGAAACGACAGCTGGCAGTAGGTTTTTATGTTCCTCTGTGTCAAGTTTCTTTGCAGGTTATTTGTTTTTTCTGAATGCTACCTTAACATACAAGTGGCTCAAACTTGCTTATTCAGAGGCAGGAACTGGCGGACGTGCAACAACTTTTATTATAAGGTAAACACAAAGCAAAACTTTTCACCTGGAGCTCCATCACGGGACTCGACACCTTTAAACACTTGCTACAACGGGTTCACGCGGCTCTCAGTCTCACCCACACTCATAAGCGCTACCAAGCCAACCAATCACAGAGCTTGCGCTATGCATCGTTGCGACGTGTAGTTAAATTTTTGGAGAGGTGCGCGTCAGTCACGGTGAGGGCTATGCAACCACGCAAAGGCTGCGCTGGAACATACGCGTGCTCTTGACGCAGAAGTATAAATCAGCCTGAGTCTTGGTCATGCTTGCTTGGCATGTGAGAACCAATGATGTCCATTCTTGTGTCACATCAACAAATTTGATCTTTCACAAGAATGTTTATCTTTGCTGAAGGATGTTTATATTAGAACAAAAGACTGAAATATGTTAATGACATGTAATCGTATCACTGAAGAAAACTTGGACTTATTATTATTATTATTATTATTAGTAGTAGTAGTAGTAGTAGTAGTGGTATTGTAGTATTTATAGGGCATCCAGTAGGGCATCCATCACATAAAAAATATGCCAGAGTAATTGGCAGTCCATACCTCAGTGGTAACCTCTGACAAATAAGTAACTAAGCCGAAGGATAGTGAGGATGACTTTCAAAGGAGAGACAGAAGTCATTCATTCTTTTTCCTCACTTATCAGGGGTGGCCAAAACAGAATGAACCACCAACTATAAAAAGCATGTGTTTTACGCAGCGGATGCCCTTCCAGCCACAAACCAGTACAGGAAAACACCTATACACTCTCATTTACTCAAGCAGTCATACACTAAGGCCAATTTAGTTCATCCAATTTACCTATACAGCATGTCTTTGGAGTGTGGGGGGAAACGGAGAACTCAAAGGAAACCCTTGCAAACACAGGAGAACATGCAAACTCCACACAGAAATGCCAACTGACCCAACTGGGACATAAACCAGCGACCTTCTTGCTCTGAGGCGACAGTACTAACCCCTGAGCTACCGTGCTGCCCAAACAGAAGTCATTCAGATTTTATTACAAATATTTTAATTTATGTTCAGAACAAACATTTTATAGGTTAAGGATGAGTAAATGATTGCAGAATTTTTATCATGGGATGAAAAAAGACCATAAAAAACTTAAAGCACACAAACTAAACCTAACATAAAACAATAACCGAAAAGAAAGCAAATATTATTTACCTCACAAATCTCTCTGTAAGATTTTTGACAAAGTCATAGATTTCACTCCAGTCAGTCGAAACACTTCCAGATCTGCAATGAAGCACATTAAAAATGTTGTCAGCAGCAATAATGAAAACAATTTCAAGAAAGAAAAAACAGCTAGAACCAATTATACTTAAACCATTAAGTAAAATGTCTTATGTCTTTGTAGTTATTATAAGAGCTGTGCTACTGATTACACTGTGGTAAAAACCCTGCTGAGTCAGCTATGCTTCAGTGTTAACACGGTTTCAAAGAAATGACAGAGTCTATCTATAAAGGGTTTGAGACCGAGCCCGTGCTATGACATCAAGACACACTGAGTCAAGACACTGCATTTCTACTGCCACTTTTGTTTTAAGCAACACTTGATCCTGCAATAACACAATCTCGAAATCATTGCATCATCCAACACCAAACATCCAAATGCATTTAAGAAATAAATTTGACTGCTTTACTGCATACACTAACATACAGTCACATATGCTCAATTACTGCTTGCATTTCATTTCCATTTTAAAATTAACAGTAACACTGAAACCTAAATATTTTTAATTATTGACTATTTTGTAATTTCACGTTTTAATCTGTCAATCCATATAAACTGTTTATTGTCCACTGACGGGCTGTTAGATATAAAGTGGAGTAACACTTTATAATAGAGCAATTCCATGCAAATGTCAAAAAAGTTTTCACCAAAATAGAGAAACAATTTCAACATTTTTTGTGTAAGCAAGTACTTTCCGGTACTTTAAAATACCCCAAAATGTATCTGTCAATGTTTTCAAACTATTATGTTTGATTTACCAAAGTCACACAAGTGGCAATTTCACATCCGTCACATCCATAACGTGAATGTGTCACATCCATAACAAAGCTTTTCCTTCATAAATGCAAAAATGTTTAATAAAATAAAATCAATTATGTTTGTTCTATAGAGAGTCAGTTCTTATTATTTTGATTATCATTATTTCTTTGACGTATTTCACAGAATTTCAACATGTTGTATACTGAAACTCGCAGACTTTTTTTGTCACATCCATAATGCATGTTTTTTTTTTCCTCTTTTAAAATATAAAAAATGTTTACAGATTGATATTTTTCTGCTCCCATAACTCTGTGGTTAGTTGTTTTGGAAAATATAAACAGATGTTTTAATATAATTTTAACGTATACTTTCTATGTGAGATTATGTTTTAAGTTTTTACTGCAAATTTCACATCCATAGTGCTGGAATTGCTCAATACCTACACACTATGAATCATCTACTAAGCATTAGCAGATAGTTAATCCATTATCTGTTAAGCATGAAATCTACATTAATAGACTTTAATAAGCAGTTTATAATAGAAATGATATATTCTTGACTTATAATGTGCTTAATAATTGCACTTTTAATATCTTGTTACTAATTCATTTTTATGACTAAATTAAGTTTTTACAAATTGTTTGTATTTAAGAGTAGTTAGAGTGTTTAAAGATTATTCAGAATGAGTTAATAAATGATTAAAAAACTATTCAAATCAACATTTATATATTATTATTCAGGCTTATACTAATAGTTAATTGTTTTTGTTAATAACTGCTTCATTTAATCAACTTCATTCAGTTTTGTGACCTAATCTAAAGTGAGGACTATTTATGCTGCATAAATATCTTATGAAGGACAATTAAAGGATCAGTATCAAATGAACAATACGTCTTCGTAATCTTATCTAAAAAGTAAAATTACTGTAAAGTTTAAACATTATAGGAATAACAGGAGTGTCAAAATATAACAAAATTGGACAAAAAACCAACAACGATATAATAATTGAACAATATATTATGATACAACATTTCAATGTTAATTAGCAATGTTTAAACTGCACAGTAATTTTATTTTAGTTAAGATTGCACAGATTTATTCTCCATTTGATACAGATTTATTTGTGTATCTTTAAATCAATAGAAATTAAGTTGTTGATTTTCTTTTTTTCCTGTTTAGAATATAACCGAGCCTTTAACTGTCATTTATAAGGGATTTATAAAGCATACATAGTTCTCATTTATGTCACAAAACTGGATAAAATAAATAAAGCAGTTATTAACATACAAATTAACTATTAATATATGCCTAAATATTAGGATATATAAATGTTAATTTGAATAGTTTATTAATCATTTATTTACACATTCTAAATAATGCTTAAGAAACAGCAACTTCTCTCAAATAACTAATTTGTAATTATGCAAAACAATTTAGTAAAAAAATAATAATAAATAACGAAGTATGAAAATATAGTCATTAGGCACATTATAAATGTGATTATAAGTCACGCCTAGTGCTTTTGCATCTGCAGTTATAAACTGCTTACTAACATATGTTAATATATAGAGTTGTTAATGCTTATCAGATGTGGAAATATAAGTTTAAATAATCTACATATAACTGAAAAGATATATTCTTTGGTTCTTTCTGACTACGGGCTAAGCCAAAGTGATGCAGATGCTACAGTCAGGCTTTTAACGACACTGCCTTTGTCTTCGGGTGATACTTTCAGACCAAAGAAACCCCTTTTGTTGATTAACTTGTGTGGTCAGTAGTTGGGCAGATTTCAAACACCTATGTGCTGGTAATCATGCTGACTCCAATACTGAATTTGTATGCTTTGTTTAGCCATCTCCCCTCCTCCTAAAAAGACATTACAGACAGAACATCTTTGTCTTAATTCAGACTTGTGATAAAACTCGCAGACTGCAGACCTCCAGTAGGCTCTTGCAGACACATGGACTTCTTGAAGACGCTGTATGACTGCAGAATAACCAACATGTCTTAATAAAGAAATTCTTCTGCTTGTTCAAGTCTCCTGGACTGGGTTCTCTCTTTCACTCATTTATTTTTTTACAACACTGATAATTAATGAACTATTTGCTAATGTTTAATAAATAATTCATAGTGTGTACTTATTATAAAGTGTTAGCCAGAATTGATATATTATACTGATAAGCAAACATGTCATCACTGAATACCTGGAAGTCTCAGAATGGTCAAATATTTCCCTGGTATATGGACTAGCCAACAAACAAACAAATGTTAAGACATTTAATAGGAGATTATTGTACATCAATGGGACAGGTAACATGATCTTTGGTCTCAAAAAAGTCAAAGAAGAGTCAGTGGCTACAGCAAATACAACAAACACTCAAACTGAGCTGTGTTATCAGCGTAGGCCTCTACAGTTTATACACATTTTCATAGACAATCTCATAACTATTTTAGTTGTTTTTACATTATCGATATATGTACATTTTGCAATAAAAAAAGTCCATGAATAAATTCAAGTAGAAGTGGATTTCTGTGACATTCACCTCCATGTTTTTTAATGAGAAAAGTGTGTAAAATGTGCCCTTGATGTAATAGCTACAAGGTAATTGAACTAATAATTATAGTCCACTGCATGTGCTGAGAACATAAAACACAAGCGATAGGTAATTAGAAAATCTTTTTTTATGCATTGTCTTCTTCCTTGTTTCAAATCAAGGTCAGAGAATTGAGAAAAGCTTTAGTGGGACAATCTGAGAACATCAAACCTCCTTTAGTTTGGAAGTATGAAGGGAAGTTGAATTTCCGGCCACAGACACTGTAGGGCAGATCTGATGTTCCTGACCGGTCATTATGCCTGGCTAGTTCTGTGCTGCTCTCAGTTCTTTCAAAAAGTGCAAAGAGCATATCTGTGCCATCATCCTGTAATATTCCCCAACAGGAAGAAGGACTGCACTGAGGCCAAAAACTGTTCTTAAACGAGTGTAATTTAATACAAACCAGTAAAGATACTGATGACAAACCGAGTTAAAGAGAAAATGAAAATTGACTCACTGTTGTTTACTCTCCCTCAAATAGGTATAAACCTTGAGTTTCTTTAAGATATTTTGAAGATGAAAACCTTTAACCATGAACTTACCAGTAAGAAAGATAAATGTTATGGAAGTCAATGGTTACAGGCTTACAGTTTTTTCTTACAAAAAGTTTTCTTTAGTGTTCAATAGAAGAAAGAAACTCAAGCTGGTTTGGAACAAGTGAAGGAAGAGTAAGTGATGACAAAATTTTCATGATATCTTCAACAGAACGGTGATAGATAGCCGGCCCGTAGCCAGGATGGGTTCGGGTAGTTTGGAAGACCCACCCCTCACTGACAAAGGTCCAGAATTTGTCCCATACATGAGCACATTTGTCCTATTTTGACTGCTATGCCATAATAAATTGTGAAAATAACCCATCGAAAAACCCAATTTTGGTGCCAAATTCGGTGTCCCAAATTCTGACTTGGGAAAGTAGAATGTGCTGGTCAGTTTGTTATTTGCCTAATAAATAATAATTGGCTTCACTTTTTAAATTTTCAAACGGATTCCTATTTTTACTAATGATATATGATGTAATCAATTTGTATTTTTAAAATAAGCATTGGATATTTTTTTGTATATATTATGGTATTATTTATTTATTCTAAATCTTTAGGAAATGTTTTTCGTACATCAAAAAGTGTGACCATGCGACAAGTTTATCTAGAACTAGAATATAAGCCAAATTTCTTAAAATGCAGTATTTACACCTCATAATTATAGAAAACGAGGCACATAACTGCAAAAAGGTCTACTTTTTAAGAAAAAAACACCCCTTTCGCCAAGCTGGCTATGGGCCTGTAGATAGATAGATAGATAGATAGATAGATAGATAGATAGATAGATAGATAGATAGATAGATAGATACAGACAGACAGACAGATAGATAGACAACTTGTATTATACATGCTATAACTTAGAAAGATGAACATCAAAAACATATTTTCACATGTACACTTTTACTTTTCAAATAATTTCCCACTTTCCCAGCCAAAACCACTTGTGTAAAGTTTTTTTTTTTTTTTGAGCTAAGCATCCTTCTGTGTGGCCCCTGAACGAGACTGTTGTGCCTAACACATGTACAAAATCAAGCCAAACTGTAAAGTAGCTGACGCGGACTGGACCTAAATCGTATTTTTTACATTTATACACGAGACTGGTGTGATATTTACAATACAACAATGCTTTATAAGAAAGTTGTGTCTTTAAAACCTTTAATTCAGAGAAACTTGAAAGTTTGCGAGTACTTACCGGTCCAAAACAAAGTACAGGTCGTAGGCACCATGACAAGATGGGGTTTCCGCTTTAAAAGATGAAAAGCATAAACAGAAGAAAAGAGTCGCCGTGGTTGCCACGCTCCAGAGATTTTCCTTTGTCATGACGATAATGAGTTATGCATCCGCGGATCAAAAATAATAAGAGAGGGCCTAAAAGCGACAATCTCTTACATAAAGTGATATAAAAACAATGTCAAGTTCAAAACAACGGCGCCTTCTCTCCCGGGCTGTCGCAACATTGTCCAATTTATAACGTTGCAGAAAAGTTCCTCATGTGAAACATAGGATGTGCAACGTCACTGAGTCTGATTTCTTCACGTATCCGTTTACGCCACCCCTTCGATAAACTGCCTGGTGTCAAATTTTGCGAGTGGTCATAACTAGAAAAAGTCAGAGCAACTCGTTGAAAAGTTGCTCGCGAGTTCCAGCAGTTCACCTAGTTTTAGTGCGCATGCGCCTCCGCCCAGATGTGCAACAGGGTTTTTGAGGTCAAAATGCCGTTTGGCTCGCGCGCACACACCCAGCAGCTGCGACGCTCCAACAGGATGTGTACTTCAATGGGACTATAAAAAAACACACTACATCTATTTTTTGTGAGATGCTGATTGTGTTTAGAAGGAAGACTGTATTTAACATTGATTGCATGTCAGTTGTCAACAGACGATCCCCGTGTATCTCCTGTATGAGGCAATATATGGCCTTTAGTCATGCTTAGTAGGATCTGAGTAGGGATTTTTTTTATGAGTCAATTCCCTGAGGTAATATATTTTCACGAACGGAGGTTTTAGGCCATACTATAGAAGACATGCGTTGATAAAAGCCTAATTATTTGTTTACATAAAGTATTATTTGGTATTATCATGAGCATTATCAAACGGGATTGTGGTTGAAGCAATCAAACGGAAATTAGATGGTTTTTTGAATTACTGAAATAGAAGCTTCAATTTCACATCCTGTTTCATGACATTTTTAAACGGTTCTACAAACTGAAACTTTTTCAGCAGCTTTAATGCATTAAAAACTCTCTAGTAGGTTTTTATTTAGCAGAAGCCGTGGTCAATTTGTAATTTGTAAAATAAATTACTTGTAAAACTTGTAACACAATATTAATATTTGTAGCTCCTGGCAACTCATTGAAGTGTTCTGAAGGGAAAGTGTTGGTGCATGCAAGAAACTGAACATCATTACTTCTAATTCTAACCCTCGCCAACACAAAAGTCGGTTGAGTAAATTATTATATTGGAATGAACTAACCCTTTCACGTCAATAATTAACATTCTTAAGGTGTTTGCTTCAGAAAGAAAATCCAGCGAAACATCTGTAATTCACAAATCTACTTTCTTCATTATTATATTGTATTGTTATTATTATTATTACCACCAATATTATTCACCTATTGTTTGTAATCTTCATTTGTAACAATCTTTGCATAACTAAATGTATAACTTCAATATACTACCAGTAATAATAATAATAATTATTATTATTATTATATTACTGTAATAATATTGGGCCGCAAAGAGAATTATTTGTTGGTCTAGACTGTTGGTGGGGCAGAGAATTGTTTCATTAATCTGCTTTTCCACTGCACCATGACAGCACACAATTAATTACGTTTCATTCACGTTTTAACTGCCATGATTACAGACAATGATGGAATAATTTTTTGCATTTTCTTTGATTACAACTTTCGAAAAAAAAATGTACTTTAATGACAGAGCTACACTAAATGCAGTATACACATAATATCATGCTCTGAGTTGGCGAAACCATCATAAGCCACCATGAATTTTTAATAAGGCAATAAATCAAACACAGTGGAATCTTCATAATTAGCTTGGATTATATTGATAATTGTTATATATCCAGATGATGGATCTGAAGTAGTGTAAACACTGTTTGTGTTTTACATGCTTGATTATGGTGATGTCCTGAAGATTTCATCGGAATGTTGGAAGTTCTATCCCAATGGTTTGTCATGGACATTTCAATGGTAAGAATAATTGGAAATGACAGGGAAACAATTCAACTAATTGTAAAAAGCACTGAGGTGTTGAAACTCATTATCACAGGAGTCCATAACAAAAAACAAAGGTATCCATAATTTCAGGCAACATTTTATTCTCCTGTGAAACAGTAAACAACAGTTTAAAGCAATAGGTTAAAATACAAATCTGATTTTTGCACATGTGATGATGGCAAGACACTGCCGGTGGAGAAGATAGAGTAAAATCACAGTTGTCACTATATTTCTACAATTAAGTACATTAAAAACAGCAATAGATTTTTTTGTATTACAATCTTAGATAAATAAAAATCATCACAAATAAAAATACCACTCACAGATTTATTATATAATAATAATAATATATAATTAATAAATATTGTTGCGCATACACATTAGATTAGTCAGTACAAAGCAAAGATTGAACTAATCCAACAAGTAGGCCTGTCACAATCTATTTTTGTTGTAAAATATAATGCAATAAACAATATTATTGTCATTTTTAAGACCATTTTATGCCACTCATTATATAATGCCAGACTGACAACATAATATAATCACCATGCAAGTACACTCTTCCAAAGAACACATAATATTTTATTTTTAAGAATATTTAATTTAATTATAGTCATTTTAACAAATTAATAATGAGGCATTGAAATCGAAATGTAAAACGCATATCCTAAACAAATAATAATATTAACTAAAAATTGCAAGGTTAAAAGTAACAGAGGCTGCGATATCTGCTAGATCTAATTTCAGTTGTCAGACACCCACATGAAAATATACAATAGTAATAATTACTATGGTGTTTTTAACCATACTGACACTGACACCTCCAATAGAGATAGAGATGTTGCACAATCAGCTAAAATGGTGCTAGAATTGTTGGCTTTATGTATGGGTTATATATATTGCATCACCAAAAATGATTGAGCTCTTGTCCATGTGTTGTGTGATAGGTCGTCATAATGATTATTGTGACAGGCCTATCAACAAATACACTTAATATCAAACATTAGTACACCCAAAGTAAAATGTTGGGATAAAATATTAAATATAATTTTAATAAACAAGTACAATAAATAGAAACATAAAATGTAAATATATATATATATTTTTTTTTTAAATAATGTTTAATAAGGAAATTTTCCCAGTATCTCTGGTAATATTTATTTTCTCCCGTAGAAAGTCTTGTTTGTTTTATTTTGACTAGAATAAAAGCAGTTTTTTTTTTTTAAATCCATTTTAAGTTAAAAATTATAAGCCCCTTTAAGCTATTTTTTTAATAGTCTACAGAACAAACCATCACTATACAATAACTTGCCTAATTAGCATAACCTGCCTAGTTAATTAAGCCTTTAAGTGTCACTTTAAACTGTATAGAGGTCTTTTAAATTATCTAGTCAAACATCATGTACTGGCATCAAGGCAAAGATAAAATAAATCAGTTGTTAGAAATGATTTATTAAAACTATTATGTTTAGAAATGTGCTGAAAAAATCTCTTCATTAAACAGAAATTGGGGAAAAAAACAGGGGGACTAATAATTCTGACTTCAGCTATATAAAAATAAAAAGTTCAAATTTACAATAAAACGTAAGTCAGAATAAAAAATTATATATAATCAAGCAAACAATGTATGACAATATCCCTCAGGGAAAAAAAAACTTTTATGATATAGATAGGATTAATACCGAGCAGTTAGGTGGCGCTGCTGCTGCTGAAGTCGAGATTTATTGCCAAAAATCTAATATGGTATTGTAAAAAAACATGTATTGTAGTAGAAATCTACAGACACATGTGGATGAATCATGAAAAACCATTTAAATGTGCAAATTTTTTTTGTTTTCTAAACATAAGTAGAGTAAAAAAAGAAAAAAAACAAAACCTCAAAATTGACTGACAGGTGCATGAAAAAATTACCAGCGGTGTATCACTTTAATTCTAATTTACAATTTTAAATGATTACATAAGATGTAACAAGAACAAAGAAGATTTATAGAATATGATTATACAAGCACATGGAGAATGAGCTATACTGAATATATCTCAAATATTACAAACCATTTAAGTTCAAAACTAATCTGAATGAGTGCTGTGAACTTAAACCATTTGATTAAAAGAAACAATTGGAGCACAGTAAATCTAATAAATAAAGAGAACTCAAGCCAACTGAGAACTGTAAAACCCTGTAAGTTAAGTCAACTCAAATCATTTGAGCAAACCAATTGTTACAAACCATTTGTGTTAAACTAATCTATATGAGTACTGTGAACTTACCTCATTTAAGTTGAAGTAATGAGGTATTTAATTAACTCATCACCTTTAACAGTGAGTTCAAATCTCTTTTCAAATGAGTAGAATTAACTTTAAGGACATTTTGAGTTAACTACACTCATTTCATTTGATAAAATTTACTGTTGGATTTTACAGTGTATAATAACATTTGTAAAATATAAATCTAAAAGTCGACTGGTCCAGCAGGAAGTCCCGATGCTCCCAATGACCAATCCATCCCTGAAACGGGATATCCTGTTGTGGACAGACCTCCATCAGTGTCAACGGTATCTGTCTGTATCTTTCTAACTCTCCGCTAAAGTCTGACCCGCACGTCTCCTCTCATCTCTTCCCGGCGCCCTGAAAAGAGGGATGAATTGTGGCTGAATGGAGTTAATTGTTGCCATGGTTGGGCCTGTCATGTTAATGAGAGGATTCTGCGGAGCGCCTGCTCGTCCTTCCTCTTCTGCATGGAGCAGAACGTGAACGTGCCCAAGCAGGAATGAAGAAGGGAAAATCAAAACAGACAGGGCCGGGTTCATGAGGACTGACCTGTAAAAAAGACTCAATCAGAGCAGGTAAAAGATGTCGAAGAGGAGAGCGCTCGGATGTGCATGAGGAGAGCAGGACGCCATGTCCAACACTTTCTCATGTGACAATGACATTTTGTAGATTTTACAAGGCTGGATACATTGCAACGCTAAGTATAACGTTTGTATAAAACGGCAGAAGAGGGAAAGTTGTCAGATGTTCTGCTGTTTAAATTTTTGGGTAAAAATACATTTTGATAATGCTTTACAATAGAGGTACTCCATTAGTTACTAGTGGACAAATCAGTTAGTTAACATGAATGAATTTAACTACATCACCCTGCAGCCTAAGATCAGTTAGGGTGTATTCACACTATGCACAGTTGCCCTGAACCAGACCAAAGCACGCTTGTCCCCCCTCCCGTCTCCCACGATGGTCCGCACTCACATTACATTTGGGCCTGGGCACGCTTACGTCATCGATGATGCGCTGTCCAGTAAGCGATTTCACTCAACACAGTGGACATTTCTTTAGTTATATTGTTTTAGTCGTTTGGGATGCAGTGACGCTGTCTAACATTTCGGCGAACAGATCAGCAACTTTTGACGCTCATAAACAATCATAAAGTCCTCGTGCTGCAGGAATTAGGAGGTT